CCCCCCCAGTTAGCCAGAAGCGAGGAAGGGACCGAGAGCCGCTATGTCGTGCCGTGCCCCACCAGGGCTGCTCGCGTGCCCATGCCCTCAGCCCTGCCCTCCCTGCCAGGGGCGAAGCAATAACAAGTGGGCTCCCCCCCTCCTCGTCCACACGCTGAGCTTTCGAACCAAAGCCATGTCCCTCACCCCCTTTTTGCAAAACCTTCATCCCGCCGCCCCCTTCGCACCAGCTGGTCCTTCGAGCACGTGGGCTGGAGGGCCGGAGGGGGCGTGGCCTTTCAGGGCTTGTCCAACCCTGTAGGCGCCGTTGTGTGCTGGGGGGGAGGGTGTTACCACTTCGGGTTCATGACCGGCCCTGTTGGAAGTTGCCTGGTGCGCAGTGCAGACCGAAAGGAAGACCCATCACCTCCCCCGCACATACCCACGCAAAGGGAGCAGTCGGCTGGCGCGCCTGGTAGACGCCCTACCGGTGCGGAACGCCAGCGCCGGCTCTCCTTTCCGTCCCGAGGAGCACATGGCCATCTCCGAACACGAGTACTGTAGCCATTTTCTTTGTATTTTGTCCACCTTCCTCTCTTGAAGCCTCAATTGGGAAAACAAAGATAAGTACGAAAGAGGATCGAAACAACCCCCGACCCTCTTTCCTCCTTATTTTTGTATAGCTTTTATTTTTGTACGCGAGTTTCGTTCCACGAGTTTGTCGGGTCGGGTTTGGACTGTACATAATTGTGAATAACCAGATTGTAAATTATTCTAAAGAGTCGGCGGATCTTCACCACGCACCCCACGGACACGCGAGAGGCCCTCTTCCCTTCCCAGCTGCGGGTCCCGCGTCCAAGAGTTATCTGTGGAGAGCCATGAGGTCTCCGAGAGACCCTCTAGCTGCATTCTCTCCTCCAGAGGTCTTGGAACGTGGACACCCCACCCTCCCGCACCCCCCCCCCCAAGTTTGCTTTCTGTGTATTTATGGTGTAATATAGACACATTGGAAATCGTGGCGTTGTCGTTTTTCCACGCAGTGTCGTCAGTCGGTCGTTGCAATGTTCTCTCTCTCTCTCTCTCTCTCTCTCTCTCTCTCTCTCTCTCTCTCTCTCTCTCTCTCAAATGTTTCCCAAAAAATCCGTTCGGCGGCCACACTCACAATAAACCAGGAGGAAGGGACGCACCTGTGCAAGTTGCATTGACCTGACTTCTCGGCAAAGCTTCAAGGGGGGAGTTCAGGGGCTGTCCCACCCACCCCCAAAGCGAGGCTTTGGTTCAGTCAGGGTGGGCTCAGGTCAGTGCCAGGAGGCTGCCGGGTGAGGGTGAGATCCAGCAGGGTCCTGAGGAGGGCTCGCGCTCCCCATAGAGCAGCCATGGTCTCAGAAGACAATCTGGAGTGTGACGGTTGTGCAAGAGTATCAGCTGCCCTGTGGAGTCCCTCTTGCCCCGACCCCGATAAATATATCGGAATGCCTTCTGTTGAATCACACCTGCGGTCCATCAGGGTCAGTCTTGTCTACTCAGACTGGAAGGGACTCTCGTCTCAGGTTCACATCACCTCCTTCCTAGTCCTTTTCATTGGAGATGCCGGGGATTGAACCGGGGACATTCTGCCTGCCAAGCAGAGGCCCTGCCACTGAGCCAGGGTCTCAGGTCAAGGTCTTTCACATCACCTCCTGCCTGGTCCTTTCAACTGGAGATGCCGGGGATTGAACCTGGGACCTTCTGCATGCCAAGCAGAGGCTCTGCCACTGAGCCAGGGTCTCAGGTCAAGGTCTTTCCCATCACCTCCTGCCTGGTCCTTTCCACTGGAGATGCCGGGGATTGAACCTGGGACCTTCTGCATGCCAAGCAGAGGCTCTGCCACTGAGCCAGGGTCTCAGGTCAAGGTCTTTCCCATCACCTCCTGCCTGGTCCTTTCAACTGGAGATGCCGGGGATTGAGCCTGGGACCTTCTGCATGCCAAGCAGAGGCTCTGCCACTGAGCCAGGGTCTCAGGTCAATGTCTTTCACATCACCTCCTGCCTGGTCCTTTCAACTGGAGATGCCGGGGATTGAGCCTGGGACCTTCTGCATGCCAAGCAGAGGCTCTGCCACTGAGCCAGGGTCTCAGGTCAAGGTCTTTCCCATCACCTCCTGCCTGGTCCTTTTTAACTGGAGATGCCGGGGAACATTCTTTTTAAAGTACAATAGTAATAGAGAACAGGAACCAGTGTAGTTAACGGACTCGCTAATAACAACTTGCCAAAAGGCCAAAGGGCATGTAATTGAAAGTCATGTATACAAAGTGGTAACAACAGAAAAGTACAAAGTATGAACCATGGAGGAGAACAATTATATAAATACGATGTTGTGTCCGGATGTTTGATTATTACAACGTTTCAGAGTTCATCCTTCATCAGGGTGTTCCCTTTAAGCTGCTGTGGGAGACACGTAATCAGCTCCAGTAGCTTCAAGCTTCCAGTGAAGACACTGCCGGTCCTGCTGGAAGCTTGAAGCTACTCGAGCTGTTTACGTGTTGGAGATTGGCGTCTGATTTTGTAATGAGTATTACTGTTCCCAATGCATGTGAGTAAGAGTATGATAGCCACAGCAGCTTAAAGGGAACACCCTGATGGATGAACTCTGAAACGTTGTGATAATCAAACATTTGGACCAGTGTTCCCTCTAAGCTGAGTTAGTGCGAACTAGCTTACAGTTTTTTAGCCTCCAACTCACACAATTTTGTCTTAGCTCAGGAAGGAGGGCTCCAGAGCAAACGAATTTATGCAGGAGCCAAATTGCTCGCTCACACCTTTAATGCCAGTAGCTCACAAAGTAGAATTTTTGCTCACAAGATTCCACAGTTTAGAGGGAGTATTGATCTGGACCAGGGGTCATTTCGTAGAAAAAAAGGTGCATGTGTGAATCACTCTCTGGGTGAAGAAGTACATCCTTTTATCTGTTCTAACCCGACTGCTCAGCAATTTCATGGAGTGCCGACAAGTTCTTGTATTCTGAGAAAGGGACAAAAGTACTTCTTTCTCGACCTGGTCTATCCCATGCAAAATCTTGTAAACCTCGCTCATGTTTCTTCAAGCTAAAGAGCCCCAAGCACTTTAACCTTTCTTCATAGAGGAACCGGCGTAAAGTTCGTGGGGGCTGTGGGGTGCCAGCCTCCCCCTGAAATTTCCCAGAAGCCCTGCCCACCCCTCGCCCTCCCAAACCAGCGCCCAGCCACAGGGCATTGCCGCTCAGACTCCCCCAGCTCTCCTCAGGGGCTCTTTAAAAAGTTGTGGCCGCTGTGGCTATTCTCCTCGGCAGCTGCACACCAGGGGGGGTGGGGAACCCTGAGCTCGGGGTGGTGGCCTTGGACTCTTCCACGAGAGGTCATTCTGGCTCCCCTAGCTCTGGTTAGGGGCTCTTTTCGGGGTCAGCTGCAAACACGGGGGGGCTGCTAAGCTGCCCTCCCTGCCTTTGTGCCGGAGCCCCAAGCCAGAAAAACGGCCTGCAGAGCCAGCCTCACCCTCCTTTCAATTTCGGCCCCATTATATCCTATGGGCCATTGAAGTCAATGGCAAAAACATAGGGTATATTCTGGAGGCTGGAGGGGTGGGGGTTTGAGGGAGAGGCTCCAAACTCACAGGGTAGCTGCTGGAGCATCTCCCCAAGATACCAACCAAGTTTGAAGAACATTGGACCAGGGGGTCCAATTCTACGGGCCCCCAAACAGGTTGCCTTTATCCCCTCCATTGTTCTCTATGGTGGGAAAAAAGTAACTCTTTAGAGAACTGTTCTTTCAAGGACAGCTCTGACAGAACTATAGCTTGCCCAAGGTCATCCAGCAGCTGCATGTGAAGGAGTGGGGAATCAAACCCGGTTCTCCCAGATTAGAGGCCACGCACTTAACCACTATACCAAACTGCACACGTCTTCAGATACATGCACACAAAAGCTTATACCTTGAATTAAACTTTTGTTAGTTTTAAAAGTGCCACTGGACTCGAACTCTGTTCTGTGGAGGGGAAAGCAAGACACAGAAAAATAAATCCAAATGCAAGATCAATAGAAAAGAGCAAGAGTCCAGGAGCACCTTAGACTAATCAAATTTGTGGCAGGGGAGGCGCTTTCGGGAGTCACTGCTAAACATGAGCCTGCAGTGTGATGTGACTGTGAAGAAAGCGAATTCAATCTTGGGATGCATTAACAGAAGCATCATGTCCAGATCACGGGAGGTAGTAGTCCTGCTTTATTCTGCTATGGTCAGGCCTCGCCTGGAGTCCTGTGTCCAGTTTTGGGCACCACATTTGAGGAAGAATGTTGAGAAGCTCGAGTGTGTCCAGAAGAGGGCAACCAGGATGGTGAGAGGGTTGGAATCCAAGTCTTACAAGGCTGAAAGAGTTGGGTATGTTTAGCCTGGGAAAGAGAAGGCTCAGAGGGGACACGATTGCAGTCTTCAAGTATCTGAAGGGCTATCGTGTAGAAGATGGAGCGGATCTGTTCTCTCTTGCTCCGGATTGCAAGACGAGATCGAATGGGTGGAAATTGCAAGGGAGTCGATACCGGCTAAATATCAGGAGAAACTTCCTGACTGTAAGAGTGGTTGAGCAGTGGAACAGTCTGCCTCGGGAGGTGGTGGAGGCTCCTTCACTGGACGTTTTCAAGCAGAGGCTGGACGACCATCTTTCAGGTATGTTGTAGGGCTGTCTTTCGGCTCTGCTCCTGCAGCCTGCAGAGGGTTAGATTAGATGACCTGTAAGGTCCCTTCCAACTTTAACATTCTATGATTCTTCAGCATGCAAGACCAATGCCACAGAGGAGGGCGCCTCCAGACCCCGAAGAGGAAGGCCAACACGCCTCCCTGCCTTCGTGGGCCTGACGGAGGTGCCCAGAAGAGAACCCAGAGGGGGGGAACCACGCTGAAAGGGAGAAGTAAAACAGGATTTACTTTACTTTTGTGTAAGCAGACTAGTAGGATCTTGCCCACAAGGCTAGGCACTGCCAGGTGTTTGCGGGAAACAATGCTGTGCACTCAGCTTATAAACTTCTCCATCTATTTTTGTACGTTTGCTGCCTCGGTTTACCCAATTTCTTTACTCCCCGTGTTTGTGCACGAGGGGGCCAGAAACCACGAGGCATGACCCGTCCCTCCTCAGGCGGCATCTGTGCACCTCGAGAAGCTGCAGTGCAGGGAAATCTGGCCTTGCAAGGTCGCACGGATGCACTGGTTCATTCCCCACCCTGGTCAAACCTTTGCTCTGGGGGACTAGGAGCGGGGTTTGGCAGACATTGAAATGACGTTGGCTGCTGCCCTCTGTTGGCAAGTTGGTGCAACGCACATACAGCCTCCCTCCACCTATCCACTGGACGCCCGCGTCTCTGCTGCCCTCTTCTGGGCGAACTGTCCATCGAGAGAACAAAGTTTGCATTCAGCAGCACCTCCAAGACCCAACGAAGTTTAATTCTGGGCAGGGGTCATTTCCTGCCGGAGCTCACAGGAGCGGAGCTCCGGCAGTAAAGAGCCCAGGGGGCAGGCACATGCAACAAGCCCCGCCCCCTGCTCCCAGCAGCCCTCAGTCAGAGCAAGACGCAGCCAGGTAAGCTGCAGAGCCCCCCCCGGGCCCAAAACAGTCCAGTGGCACCTTTAAGACCAGGTTTTATTCAGGTACAAGCTCTCTGTTAAGCCCCGGGGGTTCCATTGTTGTAATAAGTTGTTATGATAACTAGTAATTCAGCAATCTCCCATTCCAGTCTGTTTCCCGAAATTCCTTTGCCATAAAACTGCTACGTTGAGGTCCTGGGAGGCTGAAATGTTCTACGGATTTCTCAGTTCATCAACAAGCCACTGCAGAGCCCAAAGGGGTTGGCTTCCAGTTCACAACACTGCAAACTCCTTCCGC